CTGTGTGGGGGGATATGTGATGGACTGTGTGAAGGGATATCTGAGGGGATATGTGCTGCCGCACGGCCCTGCGGGACACCCGCACCGTCCACAGAATGAGCGCGTAGGACACGAGGATGAGGAGGCAGGGGAGCAGGTAGCAGAAGATGAAGAGGGAGATGAGATAGAGCGTGGCCTCTGTGCTGGAAGCGTCCCAGGTGATGCAGCAGGCTGTCCCGTAGGGCTCGGGGCCGTAGCTGCCCCAGCGGTTCAGCGGCGCGGCGGCGAAGGCCAGCGCATAGACCCACACACAGGGCAGCAGCAGCGCGGCGTGGCTCCGCGAGAAACGGCTCCCTGAGGAGAGAGTTCCTGTGGGCCAGGGCTGGAGAGAGCCCCGAGCCCCGAGTGGAGAGAGGGGACTGCACCCCGAGCCGCCCGCAGCCCCGAGCCTGGCAGGAACCCCGGCAGGAACCCCGGCAGGAACCAGGGCCCTGCAGCTCCTGGGCGACAGGAGGAGGCTCTGGGGACGACATCCAGGTGAAAATAGGGATACAGGCATGAGCTGTAACACTGCATTAATTATTTCAGTATTCATTATTTCAGTGAATTAAATACATTCGGCCTATGGCTCTCCCACCAGGGAAAGCAGCTTTTCTTGCTCTGCCAGAGCTTGTTGTCCTCCCAGCTGCAGAGTCTGCTCTAGTCTAAGCTCAAGTCTCTGTAGGGACATTCAAAAACCTGTAATCTGGTGTGGTACGGCCACACAGATGTGGCACTTGGGGACAGGGTTTGGTGCTGGACATGGAGGTGCTGTGCTAACAGATGGACTACATGACCATAAAGATATTTTCCAACCTAAGCTTGTTTCTGTGATTCTGTGACACTAAACATTGACTGGGAAAGCTTTCCCAGAAGGGGTGGATCTGGCTCATTAAAACAAAAAGGGCTCTGTTAACAGAGAGGGGCATGAGGGAGGATCAGATAACGCACCCCAGCACTYACCATATGCCGGGTAGCAGACCTTGAGGCAGCAAACCGTGCTGAGCACCGTCAGGCTGGCCAGGCTGCACAGCCCGAACAGGACCCCGCAGAAGGCGTAGAGAGTGCACACAGCCTGGTCRAAGAGCCACCTGCAAGGAGAGCCTGCAGCTGAGCCCATCCTTCCCCTGGGCAGMATGACCACTGTCCCACCCGGCTGGACAGAGGCTTCTGCTGTGCATCAGGCTGGGAACTCCCAGCGGCTGCTCCTACTCCAGCAGCAAAGCCAGTGCAGAGCCACGTCCACGAGGTACCTGTGTGCAAAGAAGGAGGACGTGGCCAAGGGGAAGAGCGTCACCGTCATGCTCAGGTCACTGATGGCCAGGTTGACGATGAAGAACTCGGCAGGTTTCAGCTGGGCCCTCTTCTGATGGGCCACCAGCAGCAGCAGCGAGTTGCCAGACAGGGATGTGATGCCTGWGGAGGAGGCAGAGAATGGTGCTGTGTGTAACAGAGGCGGCAGAGGAACCAGGAGCATCTCGAGGTGTTTGGAAGCCAACACTGAAGGAGTCTACAGAGGGTGGAAAGGGCTTCAGGCTTCCCTCTCTGGGGCAGGCTGAGCTGGGGAGCCCAGGGGACCCACAGAGCTCTGTGAGCACATCTGCAGCTGCTTTACTTTGGATCTGATCCCTTCCCCTTCCTGAGATCCCACAGAAGCTAGGAGGAGGAGCTAGTTAGGAGGGCAGTGATGGGATGAGACTGCAGTGGGCTGCGGGTGCAGGATCTGGCCAAGTCCCTCATTGCAGCTGGAAGGAGCAAGGGGCATTTCCTCCCAAGCTACACAAACAACGGGAGCTTTGTGCGACTGCTCCTCTGATGTGAGGCCAAGAGATGGGCCCCTTGGCCTTTGTAATTTCTTCCTGGCAGTGTCACTCCTGTGAGTCTGCACTGTCCCATATCGTAGTAACAAAATAAACAAGAAGAAAGGCATTATGAAGATCAAGGCAAATCCAGACTAAACAAAAGAAGGCTCATTGTTTGCTATTAGTGTATTTAAATCAACARTGGTGATTAAAGTTTTATAACAAGGGCTTTCTCTTTTTCATTACATAATGGTGATTTCATGGAAAAGAGGTTTCAGTGTCCTCAGGAGGGGAATCTGCTGCTCTTGGGACAGGTTGGGCAGGATAGAAGTTCTCCCTAAGGGATTAGGCTGTAAATTAAATCCCATGGTAAGAACCAGCTCCCAAAGCAGCTGTATGGCCAGCACTAAAGTTCCCCTCAGGAACAAGACTCCCACATGGGACCTGGCCAAATCAAGAGCTTTGGAGGCTTTGGAGTAACTGAGAGTTGAGTATAGAGATGTTTGTCCTTCTTCCCAGCCTCACAAGGCATTTTTTCCCACAGAGTGAGTGCTAAGTACACTTTGGTAACTTCACCAACTCCTTCTGAAAGCAAGGACCAGCTCAAGGTCCAAATCCCCTCAAAGGACCTGGAGCTGGTGGTGCCAACAGAGCCCTTGCCCATCTCACCTTGGGTGGCTGTGGTTGATGTTACAGCACATCACTCAAAAGCTGTTCTTCAAATGTTTATTTGTATTCTTTCCAAATGTTTAAAACCATAATGGGCACTTGCAGTTCTCTTGAGAGGGGAATTCAGTCCTCAAACTTTGGCCAGATCACACTTTGAAGTAAGATGGGAAGGGTCAGTTTAATTATTCTGCTAATGACTGGACACTTGGAAGCATCAGTGACTAAAAAGGCCTGAATGTTTCTGGCAGGCACAAGGGGATCAACAGATTTCCTTACCAAAGACTAAATAGAGAGTGCCAAAAATCAGATCTTCTCTCTCCGATAGGGTAGAGGTGAACACTGAGGTGTTGGACTCATTCCCCATCTGCAAAGCAAGATACACATGGAAGTGAGAGTGAATTCTGGCTCATGAAKAGCAAACACTTTTGTGTCCAAAAGTAAATCATAAACTGGATTCTGTAAATTCCCATTAAAATGCTCCCTCAGGTGAGTGTGTGATGGGGGAAGCCTGCACAGGCCTCCTCCATTCTGTCACCTTTAGTGAGAGTCACAAACTATATAAATATCAGTGCAGGAACCAAGCACATCCACAAYCATTTCTGACAGAAACAGCTACAAGAGTTTTCTTCCAGCTCAGAAACATTTCAAACACATGGCTGTGCTCAATCAAGACTAAATCTGCAGCTCCTGTTGGAGGGATCCAGCCCAGACTGTCCTCGGGAGTTCAGCCAGCACAGTGCAGCCCTTCAACATCAACCTGCTCTGCCACGTAGTCTGTGGGAACACAGAGCTTCTGCTGAATTTGATTTAATCTCCATTACTCAGACGCTGTTCTGAGAAGAGACAGGCTGTGAAAGTGCCTTTCCCCTCAATTTAATCAGACTTCAAAATGAGGTGAAGTTTTCCCAGCAGCTGCTGCCACAGGTACATGACCAGGAAATCTTTGTCTTCTGCATCCCAGCCCTTATTTCTGTGTTCACAGGAAAAATCAAACCTAAATTTAAACCTACATCCCCTGTCCCTGTCTGCCACCTGGGAGGACACTGGCATGGCTGGACTGACCTGATCTCATGCACTCTGCCCACGTGAAAAATCACARATTTCATTTTGTGTGATTGCCAGTTTTGCCCTTTTCTCCTCCAGACTTGGACAGTTGCTTTTTTTCATGAAACGTGCCACAAAGCCAGAGTCTGCCTTGGAGAGGAGGAGGAAACCTGATGAGTCTGGAARCTCTCCTGACCTCCAGACTCTTTCAATAAGGAATCGATTTCTGCAGTTCCCAGCACAGGGCAAGCTCAGACACTGTTGCCTACCYAGCAAACAGTGCAGGCTTTAAAAAGTCACAGAACAGCAAAAGTGCACAGCTGAGACGCACTCGGGATGTGAAGGACAGACAGCAGTGAGAGAACAGGCAGCCACGGACCCCAATTCGAAATCAGAGTTCTGCTGAGCCAGGGCTGCCCATCCCCGGCGGCCACAGACAGTAAAATCTGCTTTCTGCCTCAGTTACCCACTCGGGACTCCTGCGAGCCCCTTTTAGCAGAGTTCAACCC